TTAAATATCATATCCCAACCATTGAGAAATAATTCGTTTTATAATCCTTAAAAATCATAAATCTTTTCAACTTAATTAATTCTAAACAAATGTTATAAAAGGATTAACTACACTTAAAAATTACTTTTGGATTTATATATAATGATAATGATGTCATATTGTTAAAGTACCTTAAACAAAATATCCAATTGTACAAAGCCATTTTAGCCATTGAGACAACAAAATAAAGAATATAGTTTGATATTATAGAATTAACTTATAAAAATATTATGAATTTCAATATTGGACTTGAAAGATTGATGATCAAATTAGTGTTTTAATTATATGCGTTAAATTTTCCTTCACAATATTAATATTAAAAAACTAAAAAATTTGAGGAAAATAGATGAAATCCAGGAGAGGCTAAATAGTTATCATAAACAGAAAAATAAATCTCCATATTTTATGGGTATTACTGATTAATGTATTTTAAGTATTGCTAGAATTAAGAAATTGCCATAATTTCAAAAAATAAATCAACACTTCCAAATAGTAGATTTATTCCAGTAATTCCAGACAAACTAAAAATCATATATTTATTAAGGTTTTTCAAATTTTAAGAATAATCCATTTGTTTTTCATCAAGAAATTTTGTATATTTCAAAGTGATTGATTTTTCAAAAACATCTAAGATAACATCATCTATATTAGAAACAGTCTAATTTACTATAATTTTTAAGACTGGCCTAAATTCAAGTAATTATTATATTTCAATTGAGATGATAAATTCTCCAAAACTTACATTTGATCCAACATCCTTGATAATATATAAGTTGCTATTCCAGTTCTTCTTTTCTATATTTGATATTTCAAAATTATAGTTTCTGATAAGGGTTAACCTCTTAAATTTTTACTTTTAAATTAAATTATATGCTTATTTACTTTTTATTTTAAGTCATATTGAGATAGTTAATTACTAAAATTGGAGCTTGGACAAATGAGCATTAGCTTTAAGTATCTCTTGTGATTGTAATGCATATCCAATTTTGTTGAATTAAACAATCCTTGCATCCATCCTCTGCTAAATAATTTCCATCATCGCAATCCTCTGATTCCTAAAGCAATCCATCTCCACAATTTAATTAATATTTGCATTAATTAGAAATTAGTAATTAGTTTTGGTAATTGCACTCTAAACAAGTACCTTAAGAGCAATCAAAGCAATTTTCTGAACAAGAAAAACTTGCAATTAAAACAACCATTATAAAGTCGCAAATTACCATTATCGCAATTCTCTTCTTTTGTGATTATTTGATCACCACAAACAGAAAGACAACTATTATTAACAAATTCATATCCATCTTGACATTTTAATATACATTATCCTTTTTCACATATGTTGCAATCTTCAATGCATTTAAATTTACATTGAAAGCAACCATCATAAGTTTGCTCATTACCATCATCACAATCCTCATACTCTTCAAGAATTAATTTATCTCCACAAAAAGGGAAACAAATGTTTTCTAATATTTAAAATCCTGATTCGTTCAAAATAGTTGTCCAAACATTTCTTCTATTATGTGAATAAGTTATAGAAAAAGTTTTTAAATATTCTGGTTGTGAATTACCACAATCTTAAGATGAAATCACTGAATAATAGCTGATTGATTATTCATCTATTTAAAATGTAGGTGAAGTTTAGTTACCAATACTTTTGTAATAAAGAATATAATTACATATGAAATTCCGCTTCCACTATAATATGAGAATGAGGTTCTAGATCTAAAAATATTCTGCTAATGGCAATCCAATTATTAGTAGATATCCCAAAATATTTACTCCCTCCACAAGTATAGAAATTAACATTATTAAGATAATCTTGCCATCCTAAAATATAAAATAAGTAATTACCATCTATCATGTTATAATTAGCATCAAACTAATAAATTAGAGCTTGATGAGTTGTATATACTAAAACAATGAGTAGTATCATTACAATTTAATATAAATAATGCAATTATGTATTTAATAAAAATTCAAATATTTTTAAGATTAAGATATGAGTATCAAATTTTATTATTTAATCAGATAAAAGGATCAATAAAATTGATAATTAATTATTCTAATTATTCTTTACTATTGATATATATATAAATCTACACTTTATAATAACATTAATTTAAAATATATTTATATGATAAAAAAGAGATAAATCAACATATTATTCGTAATTTCTTTGAATAAATTCAGCTAACTAAGATAATCAGCAATTTTGAATATCTATATATTAAATATTTTATAAATTCTTGAATTTTACAAAATAAAAGATGTATAGGGGGCTTCAGTTTAGTTATCTAATCGTTTACACTAGTTTATTACTTATTTATCAGATCATAATATATGAAATACGACTTTATTCTAAATAAAACTTTAACATCCAAATAATAATACGCTTAGTTCAATTACTAAGAAAAAAATTATAGATTTCTTGATAAAAGTTGGAATTATAACTAAAAAAATGTCAGCTATTTTCATTTAAATTTTTGACAACATCTAATTATGTCTAATTCTCTATTTGAAAGTATTTTTTACCTTCAATCAAATTTTGTAGTATAAAGGGATAGATCGAATACAAATTCAAAGAAGCACTTTATTTTACCTCCCTATGATTAAATCTAACTGGATGATGGAGGTCAATTTTTTTCCCCTCATAAACTAACTCAACTCATAAGCGGACAACCATAGATATGAAATGCCCTGGTTGTAATAATTAACTAAATTCCAAGATTCATTTTCATACATTAATTTTTCTCTAAATTTGAGATTAATATAAATTATCCAAAATAAATAATTATAAATAGGTCTTAATTTTTTATAAATCTTGAAAATCAATCATAAATGATCATAGATTGAATATGGATTAATTTTAATTTCTTGTTCTTCCCTCTATTTATTCTTATTTATCAGTACATTTAAATAGTTATCAATATTATTTATAAAACAAACTGACTTAAAATAATTTTTTAGTTATCGGAGACATTATTAAAAATAATTATTTTTTTATAAACTTTAAAGATCATTATGTTTCTTATTTTAATCCTTTAGAACTAATGGCATTATAAAAATAAATAATCTCTTTATATATTTAAAAGCGCTTAATTATNCTTGCCATCCTAAAATATAAAATAAGTAATTACCATCTATCATGTTATAATTAGCATCAAACTAATAAATTAGAGCTTGATGAGTTGTATATACTAAAACAATGAGTAGTATCATTACAATTTAATATAAATAATGCAATTATGTATTTAATAAAAATTCAAATATTTTTAAGATTAAGATATGAGTATCAAATTTTATTATTTAATCAGATAAAAGGATCAATAAAATTGATAATTAATTATTCTAATTATTCTTTACTATTGATATATATATAAATCTACACTTTATAATAACATTAATTTAAAATATATTTATATGATAAAAAAGAGATAAATCAACATATTATTCGTAATTTCTTTGAATAAATTCAGCTAACTAAGATAATCAGCAATTTTGAATATCTATATATTAAATATTTTATAAATTCTTGAATTTTACAAAATAAAAGATGTATAGGGGGCTTCAGTTTAGTTATCTAATCGTTTACACTAGTTTATTACTTATTTATCAGATCATAATATATGAAATACGACTTTATTCTAAATAAAACTTTAACATCCAAATAATAATACGCTTAGTTCAATTACTAAGAAAAAAATTATAGATTTCTTGATAAAAGTTGGAATTATAACTAAAAAAATGTCAGCTATTTTCATTTAAATTTTTGACAACATCTAATTATGTCTAATTCTCTATTTGAAAGTATTTTTTACCTTCAATCAAATTTTGTAGTATAAAGGGATAGATCGAATACAAATTCAAAGAAGCACTTTATTTTACCTCCCTATGATTAAATCTAACTGGATGATGGAGGTCAATTTTTTTCCCCTCATAAACTAACTCAACTCATAAGCGGACAACCATAGATATGAAATGCCCTGGTTGTAATAATTAACTAAATTCCAAGATTCATTTTCATACATTAATTTTTCTCTAAATTTGAGATTAATATAAATTATCCAAAATAAATAATTATAAATAGGTCTTAATTTTTTATAAATCTTGAAAATCAATCATAAATGATCATAGATTGAATATGGATTAATTTTAATTTCTTGTTCTTCCCTCTATTTATTCTTATTTATCAGTACATTTAAATAGTTATCAATATCATATACAGGGAATAATTTTTCTTTTAGTAAGATGGATCTTTTTTAACCTTTAGTATTTCTTAATTAATATTCAATGAACCCTATTAATTTTTCTTATAAAATAGTGGATCAGAAATTTAAACTTACTATCACAAAAACTTTAAAATCAAATGAGTTTTATTGAACTTCATCCATTTATTCATTGTCAGAAGAATTTTGGAAATTATCTTTACTTCCTTAATTTTCTAAGTTTACTTTTGAAGATGCATTATAACTGTTTAAGGTTTTATAAAATTATATTTCAATTATATGAAACAATAAATTTTTCACTTTAAAATTAAAGAATCTTGAGCAATATAATGAATGAAAAAAATTTGATTTATTTTATCGTTATCAAATTATAATACACAATTTAAGGGATTCCAAAAATGAAAAATGAGAACATAATCATCAATCCTCTTTATATCTCAAAATATATAAGTAATGATTTCTTTCTCTACTCAAAAAAAAGGGCAATATAATTCAAATATTAAAAAAAGTCTATTTCTTTAAGAGATATTTTGGGGCAGAGATTTATTCAATAATATGAACAATAACAAAAAGATATGAGCAATCAAGAACGTAAACATTGATATCTATTTAAAGAATAAGAGAATATTTTTCATAGATTCCTATTTCAAACAAAGAAATAGGATGACCAAATATTATCTAAATCATTGTAAATTTTTAGTACATTTATTATAATATAGAAGAAATATTGTACCCAAAATATAGTTAATGCTTTAAAAGCTGCTAAATCTAAATCTAAAGTGTAGTTTTTATTAGATTCAACTGGAACGAAATATACTATAAATTCTTAAGCTCCTTCAGTTTTTTCCAGAGGATGATCTCGCAAAAGTAATAAAAGCAAATTGTTAGATATCCAATTCATTTGCTAAAGGAGAAGCGTTGTAGAATTGAATCAGGATTTGAATTAATGTTTGCTAATTGGAATTTTGAGCATCGGTCACAGGTGAAGGTATGGATGAAGGAAAATTATAAGAAGCAAGAAATGATCTAGCTAACTATGCCTTAGAATTACAAGAGAATGACGACTAAAAATACACAGAATTTGATTTTTTTATGTAATTTAAAATATTTCTAATTTTTTTCCTAAAATAATTTGCAATCATAGGATTGGAAAGATTCTAATACATGAATTATTAAAAATATTAATAATTAAAAAACTTAAATATTATAATTTGATTTGACTGGTTATACATTCATTTCCTATTAATATTCTACATCTAATAAATTATATTGAATATCAGTCTATCATAAATATAACTTATGAAAAAAAAGGCTAAGGTTCTCTAATTTTTAACCTGAATCAAATACCTGTTAATTAATTCGCAAAAATGGCTTTTTGCTTTTCTACAAATTTTTGTTTTAAACTACTAATTCTGTAATTTTAATTTAACTCTTTAAATGTTTAAAAAAAAAACTTCAACAAGATTTTATAATAATTAAGTTTAACAATATATTTAGATATTAATTTTTGTAATAATAATTTGAAAATATCATCATTATTGTTAAGAATAATCTTTGAAATTTATTTAAAAACCTTATAAATGGTTAAACGCATATATTTTTTATTCCTGAATCTTCTTTTTTTGTTTCTTTTATTAATAATTTTCATATATTTTCAGAATTTATTGAAGCAAGTCGATAAATAAATTAGAAGCTAAAATTGCACAAAATAGACCAATATGAATCCAACCAATAATTATTTTATTTTCTTAACTTAAATCAAAACTATAGCATAAAAATGTCCCTGTTATAATCATAAACAAAAATTCTCTGGAAATTAATTTTGAAAGTTCAAATATAGATTTTAAGGGTTTAAATTTGATTAAGTAAATCAAAAACATGAATGATTGCATTGAAAGTAATATAGATTATGCTTCAGGATAGTTGATTGATTTTACAATAATTAAGATATAAAACAAGATTCTGTAAATTTAAAACGGCTTAAATTAGACAGCCCAAAATTATGTCTTAGATTCAAAATAAAAATACTTCCACTTACTTTCGTTTTTTATTTAAGATGAAGTAATTGAAAGCAATAGAATAGTAGCTAATACAATGAACAACAATCCAATAATTGCATTAATACTATTGAAAATTTCAAATGGAGAATCAAAATTGTAATTTGGAAATTATAATATTGCACTAAACATAAACTAATGTAAGATTGCTTAGTAAAGCTTAAAAATTCCTAGGGAGAAGTATTCAATTTTATAAATTAAACACTTTTTTTGAATCTTTATTTAAAATAAATAAATAAGTTTTGAAATTTTCAAATTTTTTCTATATTTATTATTTAGCTTGGTAAAGATACTTTATAGTTATTTTGATACTATAATACAATAAAAAATGTAACTTAATAAAGATGCAATCACAGAAAAATAACAACTTTTAGCATTAAATAAGTAAAGCTAATTTAAAATATAATCTGAATCTTGATTCAAATTATTATTGCTTTAATTTTTAAGACTTCCTCCATTCAACTTAATCAATAATTAATCCACCTTAAAATAATTTAAAATCGGTTGCAATGATACTTTTGTATAAGTGTTCAAAAATTCCTATAAATGGGGAGGAAATTAATATTTCATAAATCGAACATAAGATAATGACTGTAATAGATCTAGTAAATTAAAAAACATAATTGCATTTCCTGTGAGCATTGCCAAACTTGAAATGCTAGCCATAGAATACATCATTGCATCGTTTAGTTTAACAAAATAAGTTAATTATTTTTTAGTAGTTTCTGTTAACACAAACGGAGCTCCCAGTTTTATTTGAAGTTAATTTTTCAATAAGCCTAAATCAAAAGAATTATATATTGTATCTTTCCTTACATTAACTTTAAGAACAGGGTCTTAAAGTGGCTCATAAAATTCTATTTGAATCTAATATTTAGGGTGGTTTAAGTGAATAGTTATATTTTGTATATTGTTGATTGTTAATTTATATTTAGTTTAAGGAGTTAGAGAAAATTCAATTATTTCTTCAAATTATAATTCTTCCTATAATTTAACTTATTAAGTGAAAGTTAATTCTACAGTTTGAGTTGAGTTGGTTTTACCAGAAAGAATTTTTAAATAAAATTGAGGAGCTTGGATATATGTACATAAACTTTATGAGCCTTACTCAATATCACATTGATATGAATCTTCAATATTACAAAAAGAAGAGCATCCATCTCCTCCATAAAGATTACCATCGTCGCATGCTTCATATTAATTATTTAATAGTCCATTTCCACATTAATTGACACATTTATAGTCAATAAGTAATTGATTTTCTCCACATCTAAAATTGGCTAATTAATTACACTATAAACAACTCAAATCAATATCTTATTCGTCATCATTGATATGTATTAATATACATTTTGATGTTTAAGTATCCAATAAATACCAATTATCACATTTAAGACACTTATCTTATTGGCATTCAACACAACCATCTGAACATTAAAACTAACATTAATAACAACCATCATTAGCTTAATCATTTCCATCATCGCATTCTTCTTAACCATCTACAATAAATCCATCTCCACAAATAGAATGACAACGATGATTAATTAACTGCCAACCTAATTGTTCACAAGCTTAACATAATCCTGATTAGCAATCTGTACATTCAGATTAACAATCAAATTAACATTCAAAGCATCCATCAAATGGAATTAAATTTCCATCATCACAATTTTCATTTCCTACTACTATGCCATCTCCACAAATAGAAATGCATTAATTTTCATATAATTGCCATCCTTCAATTTAACATTCTAAGCAAACTCTATCAAAACATTTTGTGCATCCTAGTTCACATATAGATTAACATTAAAAGCATCCATCTTAATCAATTTCATTTCCATCATCACATTACTCATTTCCAACAATTATATTATCTCCACAATAAGACTTACATTCTCTAGAGACTAAGTCGATCTCCCATCCCAATCCTTTACATGAATAACATTACCCAGATATACAACTAAAACATTCCTTCTGACATTAAATTTAACAGTTTTAACATCTAGATTAAAATATCATGTTTCCTTCATCGCATGATTCATTAGAAGCAACTATTCCATCGCCACAAATACTGAAACAAGAATTATCTAATAAGTTTATATAATATCCAAATTAACACTCATAACAAATACCCATTTGGCAATTAATACAATTTTAGTCACAAGAGAATTAACATTCAAAGCACCCATCATAAGGTATCTCATTGCCATCATCACATTATTCATTTTCGACAAGTTTAAAATCTCCACATATTGGCGAGCATTTCTAAACTTATTCTGCATATTGCCACCCTTCTTAACAATGTAAGCATGCACCTCTAACACAAAAAGCACAACCTTCAATAAATTCAGAAATGTCTAATAAACACCCTTCAATAGGTAATCCTAGTTAATGTATGTCAATATATTTTTCTGGAGCTGTTAGAAATAATTAAAAATCAGTTATCCCTAAAGTAGGATAATCTCCTGTCATATCAAATTATGGCATTATCACATCAACACGTATTTTGATTTATGAGTTTGTGTGCACGATATTATTTATTATTACATCAAGTATTTATATATGATTACAAAATGGCCTTGTCCAAATTATCCTATTTGATAATTACTATGTTGTAGTTACAAATTGATCATCAATCTTAACAGTAAGAGAAGGACTATCAGCATTAGTTATTAAGAATCTCATCCTTGAACTAATTTAAATATGAGGATCTAAATCAATTGATATTTCCATATAATTTCCATATGTCCATTAATATTGATATTCTAATTAGAAACATATTATACCAATGCATTAAATTAAAGTAGTAAACATTTCCATAGTTATCCATTATAAAGTTATAGGAACTAGTATTAAATTGAAGCATTATGTAGAAC